AGATGATGATTGACGAGAATTAGAAAATCCGTCAACGTTGTCGAGCGTCAAAAAGTACAGTAGAGTGAGTATCAGAAAATTTCTCGTTTTGGCGAACGCTATATAAAAACGTAAACTTCGATCATTGGCAAAGACTATCAAGTAATTTAAGCCCTCACAATCGGCAATCTTATACCAACACACAAAACTACCTACAGTTCTTACATCACTCCAATATCACATTTTTTTTTAAAGATTCTAACATAACCATCACACTACTTTTTGAAAATGTGGTTTCCTATATGAAGTTTGTATACCTCTTTATACAAAGAGATATACAAAGGGGGCTACTGTAGACACTACATTTTGTCCGGTATAACCACTATATTTAAACTCAAAAGAAAGAAAATTGTAACGATAAATTAAATAGAATGCTTGAAAAGAATTGGTCGAGATTGCAATAGAAAGTCAATAAGTAACAATGATTTTCATACTCACGTTTATTTAATTATAATTTCGATTTGATTATTAACCATAAAATATATCGATTTGATCAAGACTAGCAACGGCAAGTCTTGAACACCAAATAATTAACTAAAATCAAATTAGATAAGATCATAGGATCGGACTAATTGAGATAGTAAGATTAGCAGTGGCAAATCTTAAACATCAATTCTGAAAAATAATAGAGGTGCAAAGTTTGTCATTGAAAGGTTTAGCATAGAGGTTCGAACGTGGGCGTGATAGATGAAATGGAGACAAAAGCTTTATAATTAAATTTGACACATGGTACAAAGTATGTGTAATGACGTTCCAAATCAAGAACTAAAACTAATTACAATGATTTCCTGTTACAGCTAACAAAAATTTGAAGTTTAAGACTTCATTTAAAACTGGGTCGACTCAGCAATTGAAGTCATTGGGCTTCTTTTCTCCTCTCTTCGAGCCCAAACCAGATCACAAACCTCCAAAATGAAAAAGAAAATAATCAGAATACAACCCAAATAGTAGTACATACTAAAGCCCAAGAGTTCCACCCATGTTCAGGCTAACCAAATCAACCCTCAGGGCAAACAGATTTCGTCTCTATACCTCTCCCCAAGAGGCAACAAACTTTTCCCACTGCCCACAAAAAGAAGAGGATGGCCACCTCCTCAGAAAGCGAACCATATACAGCCAGCACAAAAAGAAAAGGACAGTGCACATCAGTCATAACATCAGTCATATAAGGAAAGCTTACCACTGATTAAAGAAAGAAAAGGGAGCCGATGCTCAAAAAAAGGACATAAACAATACGCCTCAAGCAAGAGGCAGCAAGGAGGAATCGGGAAACAGAAGGCTACAAGCAATCCAATCAACCCACAAAACGAATCCATAGTCATACCCTCTCCCATTCATAAGAATAAACATGGCTATGTATGTGATAGAAAGTAGAAATCAATGTTCTTCATGGTAAGAGGACATGTATATGCTTAACTATAAAGACACAGCTAATTAGGAACTAAACTCTTGCAAGTATAGTGGGTATGCAATCAGATTGTGTTATTTGTATGGCGCAAAAGATTTGCTTGTAATTTAACCATCTGCTAGAATTTCTAATCACAAAATCTGCTTAAGGGAGCCATAAACAAAACTAGATGTGATGTTCACGATGCCTTTTCCATGTTATCTATCTCAAGAACTTGTCTGGGTTGAGTATTAACCCTCATTAATTATCGACTCATATATCTAGTTTAAAATGCACGGTTAATTGCAAGGTTGGTCACTCAAATTACTGAAAAGATTCATGTTTGGTCACTACAAATATTTAATTTCGTTCGTGATCACTCAAATTAGTTCAACATTTCAATTATGGTCACTCTCCGTTAACTTCTGTTAGTCTTTGTTAACACCGTCAGTTTTTTGCTGACGTGGCTAACAGAAACGCCCAATCAGCTTATTTTATCCCAAAAAATTCAAAATCAACCCGCCACGTCATTAAATCCGCCACGCCAAAAACTCTAACCCAACTCGTGACCCAAACCGAGACCCAAATAATTTGTGACTCGAACAGTCAAATTAAAAAATAAAATAAATCTAAAAACACAAAATCCAGTGACCAAATCCCACCCACCGGTAAAACGGGAAAGGCTACGGTGCTAATTGTACAATAGTTAGCACCGTTCTAACCAAGGGAAAAACTACTACTAGTTTGAATTAGTAGTGATTTAGCTTAGATGTCGTATTGATTTTATAATAATCCGTAGTGATTTTTGCTAGTTATCACGGTGCTAACCCCTATAAGGGTTAGCACCTAATCCCATCCCCCGGTAAAAATTCTGGCCTCCGCAAAATTCTCAGATCGCCGATCGTTGGTGAAGAGTACCGGAAGCAGCTGTCAGCCACCCTCTCTACTTCGGCCAACCGCCATGCCGTTCCCATCAAAAAGGAAGATCGGAGGAAAGACCCAAACAAATCATCTCAACCCCAACCAATTTCATCATCAATGCCTCTTCCCTAGTATCGTTCCCCACTTTTCACTTAGTCTCGCCGTGAATAAAAGAAAAACCCAAGTCAAAATCAAAATTTCCATTCCCCATTAACCTAGCTCTTGAATCTGCCAAAATCACCCAGATCCCTAGCCGCCCTCGAGCACCGATCAAGTCGACCAAATCCCCTGTTACAGACACCATGGAAGGCCCTTTGAAATCGCCAAATCGTAGACGTAGGTCAAAGACGAGACGCAGGTGGTGCAAGGGGAATGGTTCTCCAACAACTTTTTGCAAGTGGAGATAATTTTTGGCGAGTTCGAAGGCCGTGTTCTGTGATGCGAAGGGCAAGATTTGTGATTTGGAATGGGGAGGAAGTCGTCAAGTAGGCGCTGGTAAGACCGCCAACGCGAGTCGGGGATGAATCGTTGGTCCGGTGGAGGGTTCTCATCCAGCTGCGCTCGCCCGCAGCTTGATTCAAATTCACTGCCATTTTCTTTCCTTCCCTATTTGAAACTCAGATTCAATTGCACACCATAATCGAACATGCATCTCTTAATTGCAAGTTTGTTAGGTCAAAGATGAGCTGACGTTTGGGACTTTACGGAGAAGCTGAAAAACAAGGAAGGAGATGGTATTTGAAGGTTTAGAAATGGTGGCGGTTTTGGTGGAAGAGAAAGGATGGAGAAGGGAGGAGTTGAGCGACCGAGAGAAGGGAGAAAAATAATATTTTTTCGCAAACATGAACACGAACCTTTTTAGTAATCTGAGTGACCAACCTTGCAATTTACCCTTAAAATGCATGTTTGCTTAACAAAGTTCCAAACCTAAAATCCTTTCTCAGTCCTTGTGAAAGTAGCAAGGAAATAACCAATTCATACCTATTACAAACTCAGTTTTAGAAGGGTATAATAGAAAGGCATTTTCTTTCGTTTTCTAGGGAACCCCTCCAAATCCGATCATAACTTAGAATAGAACCTTTCGTTTTAAAGACAAAGTCCTAAGCAGAGGCTATATCTTTTTCTATCATCCTCAAAGTGCAGTATAAGAATTAGAAACACAAACTTTCTACGATACAAAACATATAAAGCAAACGCCTACTACAATCGTTTCTTCAAATATTATGAAATTATTAGCGGTGGCTAAGATTTTCAGTTAACTTTGAATCATTTTCAAGTTCAATCAAACGTGTAGTTTTTCTTGGCATCACGATAAAAACTTCGCTAGATAATCCCCACTAGAAGTTTATACCCAATCGAGTAACAAGACCACTGCCAAATCCAATAAAATCAAATGCATAGGAAATATCGAGCCTAGGTCTACTAGAGTTAACTAGTTTCGAACCAAGGTCCTCGCGATCGGACACGGTATATGACCGGCGTTTTGACCAGTTGGGCTGCTAGCCCATCATGCGTAAATATAATCATTTTGTTTAATTTTATTCATTTAAAATCCTAAATATGAAATGCTGAATGCAGATTAAGTTTCTATTGTTTCTTTTCTAATATGCCAAACCTCTTCCCAATAACTAAAATCCTTACATTTATTATCATAACAACATAATAATCTAAATAAAGTTTTATTAATAAAATTATAATACGAGGATTACGTTCTGTGGAACGTGGTAAAAGCTATAATTAAAACTATTAAAGTTATAACAGACTACGTGGACTTTAGTCCCGTCTAACGGGTACGTAGGCAACCGATAAGGTTCGAGTCCAACCAACTAATTAATAAACTAATTAGTTAATGGACACTTAGTTAAATTATACCTAATGAAATAGCAATATAGTAATGGTCCATTGGGATTTTAAAAAATACATAATTACCAAAATACACCCAACTAATATAAACTTATCAACTTAAGTAGTACCAAATGTAGGGCGTTGTGGGGTGTTGCTTAACTTCCCCACACGTAACCGTACTCCCGAACCCATATCTCGAAATCGCAGACCAAGTCTCGGTTCCGACCCTATGGTTAGAGCCGACCAAAGAGTGTTCGATCCACTCCAAGTAAGATCGATGGTGACTCCCAAAAAGTGAACGCGACGACCCCGACGAACACCCGGAGGGACGGTTGCGACAGAAGGTACTGAAAAACTTGACATATAGCTCCCCATAAATATCATCTTCCAGTTCAAGGAGTCGCTGCCATTGTGGGTGGGCCACAACCTCCCTCATGATATATCCACAATGAATACCATCGAACAGGGTGAAGTCGAGTTTCCAGTGGTCTCCAGAGTGAGCGCTTGCCCAAAATCTCAGCTCTTTTTCCATTGCGGGTTTCCCTCTAAGCACCGAAAGGTACGGGTGGTTCACATTGACCATCCTATAAAACGGGCAAACATGCACCATACGTGGAAGTAATTGTCAACCTCAACTCATTGGGAGGAAAAAGAATTCCCCCAACACCTATGTTCCCACTACGGTTCTACGCCATTTGAAACAATTAAGCTCAAGCACACCGAGGCATGGTTTTAGGTGTTTCACGGTTTATCCACACAAAAATCTAACATAAACAATACCACAGTGTCTACCATCCACCACTCAAACATAAAAGTTCCACATTCATTCATAATTTTGCACTTGGTGGGCAAATTTCACATTTGCAAGCAATTTGTCCTAAATTATGCCCACCAAGGCTCAATTAAGCTCGTACAAATCACATTTCAGCATTCATGCACCACTAATAAACTAATCCCTCGCCCTATTTCTATGTTCAATAATGAATTCACTAGAATCACCTCACTTTACTCCCTAATTTGATTCTCAACAATTAACAAAGGTAAGGTCGAAAACAAACCTGGAGACTAAAGAAGGATTGTAGAAGAAGTGAGGTTAGGGTGAGGGAGTCGAAAAATTGCACGAAAACAAGCTGGAGAGGTGTCATCGGAGACTCGCCGGAAGCTCGTCTGAGGCTCACCGGAAATCGCCTCACCAGAAAAATCAGCTCCAAATCTTCCCAAAATCTCAGCGAAGGCCGTCCTTGGCGAGGGAAGATTGGTTCTGTGGTTGGTTTTTAATTAGATCGAAGGAAGTTGACGAAAATGGCAAAATTTGTCGGAAAACCACGATTTTCCGACATATTCAAAAGTTTTTCGGTAAAATTTGGGTCGTGAAGTGAAGATAAGGCGTTCACAACCCTTTTCTAGGCAGAGCCCGAGGTTCATGGACGCGTTTCCCTGTTCACTGTCGCTAAGACCGTGAACATAGCTTGGAGATGAGCGTGAACTGGGGTGAAACGGTGAGTTTCACAACACGTGGAAGCACCCTGGTTCACAGAAGGGTTAAGCAGTTCACGGTAGATTAAGGTTGCGAACTGCAAGTGCATACTATGAAATGAAGTGAAAACAAGGCATTTCTAGAAAATTTTGACTCGACCTACTCCATCGTGCCTACTATCGATCACAACCCATCTCAAAACACACAATCACAAAGATCTGGCATGGGGATACCACTTTGACCACTTAAACTCTTCACTCAACCACAAAAAGAGAAAATAAGGAAAAGAAAACAAATCTACGTTGGGTTGCCTCCCAACAAGCGCTAAGTTAATGTCACTAGCTTGACGTTGCGGATCTATCATGCTTAAGAACATGAAGCCACCGAGAGTGGATCCGCCACGGTCTCGAGGCGTGGCTTATCACCTCCCAACTTAAACTCCATGGGGTGGCCTTCTAGGCTGATGACTTTCGCGTTGCCCTCTTCCTTTTTTTGGGCAATAATGTGATTCATCCTTTCCTTCCAAGCTCTCTTCCTTCTTTCTTTGGGTGTGATACCCTCCTTGGTTATGTGCTTTACATGACCACAAGGAATAACAGTAATAGTGGGGTTCACCTTGAAAGGCTCTCCTTCACTTGCATTCATATAATTTTATTCCACTTCCTTCACATCCTCACTTCTAGGCTTAGATTCAATTCCAAGAGTAATTTTCTACTCACAGTCTCTCAGAATCAAAGTCCCCTCATTACATTAATTAAATCCTTGGCGGTGGCAAGGAAGGGGCATCCTAGTATGAGTGGCATTTTTGAATCTTCACTTATATCAAGCATCACAAAATCCATCGGATAGTTGAATTTCCCCACTCGTACTAGCACGTCCTCCACAATGCCCCTAGGACTAATGACAGAGCGATCAGCCAATGTGACACTAAGCCTAGTAGTCTTTAATTCACCCAAGTATAGCATCTTAAGAAGCTTAAAGGGAATCACATTAATGCTTACTCCTAAGTCTTCCAAGAAATTTTCTATGCGATGAGCACTCCTCGCCTAAGGTGACATTGGCGAGGTTTTGGAACTTCGGCTTCTTGGAGAGAATCCCCTTTAGGTGTTTTGAATATCGTGGCATGTGGGCCATTGTTTCAAGGAAAGGAATATTGAGTTGGATTTTTATGAGAATCTCCATAAACCTCCACATTCCGCTTCTAATCTTTCCTTATGCATCCTCGTGGGAAAAGGTAGGGGTTGCGTGTACTCAGCCACTGGAGGTGGTGTTGGCGATGCCTTCCTCGCCACTCCTCTCTTTTCTCCCAAGGTTTCTTCTTCTCCACCCTTGACCGCATTGTGCTTGGTATGGTTGTTGGAAGTTCGAGTTTTGGAACTGAGATCTTTGTTGGATGTAAGTCGGACGACGTTGATAGTTGCCCGTTGGACCTTGGAAACCGGGAGGTCTTGGATTGGTAGGGGAAGACCAAGCAAAGTTTTGTTGAACGCGCCACCTGGGGTTGTAGGTGTTTCTATAGCGATTGTTCCCTCTAGTATTGGCAATGAAACTCACTTTCTCCTCGGGGGTACTTGTCTCCTTCATTGCTTGGCAATCCACAATTTCATGACTAGTGCTAGAACACCAATCACAAGACATCACCGCTCTCTTCCCTTGATTCTTTTCCTCAAGGATCACCTCAATCAACTTGTCAAGCTTAGACTCAAGTGAAGCACTTGCTCCCAAACTTCGCACTCCACTTTTGGTGCTTCTCTTACCACTTGTCGTCAAGCCCCAATCGTATCCCTTGAGAGCCATGTCTTCGAGCAATTCGGTCAACTGAGGTGGAGCATTGGAGTAAGATTCCCTTGGCAAAGAGAGTCGATGAGAATCTTGTCATCTTGAATGAGACCACCGTAGAAGGTCTCTATATGAAATTGCTCCTTGAATCCATGGTAAGGGCATTGGAAAAAGTAGTCCGAGAACCTTTCCCATGCATCCCTCAATGTCTCATCTTCCGCTTGCTCAAAGTGAGTGATCTTCTTTCTCCATTTGGCCGTTTGGAAGGAGGACAATATCGGGTCATAAATTTGTTGAGAAAATCATCCCAAGAGGTGATGGATCGAGCCCGTCGGTTGTTGAGCAATCGGAGCACCTTCCCCCCAAGAGATTAGGGGAATAGCCTCAGTTGCAAGCCCATGAAACAATGCGTTGTTTTGAATCATCGTGACAAGAGCAGGCTTGATTTCAAAGTTGTAGGCGGCCACAGGTGCATGTAGGATAGGAGATTGGATATCCGCCGCCCATTGGGCCATGTAATAGCCCATAGTTCTCGGTTCTTCCTCGGCTCCCGTTTCCTCGTTTTGGTGCTGGAGCGGATTAGCACCTCGATGTTGATTCCCTACCATCTCAAATTCAATTTCTACTTCAATTCCTCCAAATCCGGGACCAACTTGATGTCCCAGGCAACGGAACCAAAAACTTGACTCGCTCAGAATATCACACTTAAATCCCACCTAAGGCCCAAGTAAAAACCTTAAATGGGTGCAATATAGGTCAAGTATGTGTAAATATCAAACCGAGCCGGTCCATGTACCCCTACTTCAATTTTTTGAAACATTATCTAGCGGAATGAAGTTTGAAAGAATCTCTACAATCTATTATTAAAAATGCAAGGCTTGAAAAGTAAAAGGGGTTAAACTCTTGATGAGAAGCTTCACTAGGGAATTGTTTCCCCCTAACTAACTACCATGAACTATGGGATCAAATGAATTGGTGTGCGACAAGGCGATTGAAAATCCTAGAAGGAGCAACAGTGGTTGGAAAACACACTCTCAATCGCTAGTCCAAGGAATGCATTATATGCTACGAAAGTAGCCCTCTTGGCCCAGGCAAAAGAGGAGTTAACTTACCTTCTCACCCAAACCGGAGTTTGGACGGCTTAATCACAATTAACCTAGTTGTCTAACTTGAGTTTAGAGGTTTGTGTTACATTAACCTAGTTAGGAGGCATGGAATGCCTAAGAAAACCCAGCTCAATTTGAGCCTCTTAAGGAAAGGGGCCTTTTCTCCAAGCTAGGTTAGGGTAGCACAATAGATTGCCAAACACACAAAATGCACAATCATCATGAATAATATGTCAAAACTTTAAATTAAACATCACCCACACACAATCATTCAATCCACACAATCAACTACATGGTAGAAGTTAGGGTTCTACAACACCCAAGTGAATATGAGACTACCCAATGCTAGAAGAAGGAAGAACACAAACGAAAAAGGAAAAAGCCATTATTTAATGCCTCAATCCTTCCTTGTGCTTGTAGAGATCCTCCCTTGAAGAGGAACTTTCCAATTCTTGACTTGGAGCAAACCCTAGTCTCTTCTCCCTCTTGGTTTGTGACTTTCTCTCACTAGGGTTTCAAGAAGAGGAAGGTTTCTCTCACTTTGGGCTCCTCTCATCTTCTTCCTTTCAGCTCTCCTTTTATAAACTGATCGAGCTCAGTTCGTGGTCCCAGTTCACGGTCGTAACATCTGGCCTGGACCGTGAACACAGCCAAAATACACCGCTTTCATTTGTTGAGTTCGCGATCCATGGCTTTAGTTCACGGTCTTACAAATGTGAACTGGCTCGACGTTAGTAACTTCCGAAACCTCACTGGACTCTCTTTAGTTTGTGATTTGCGGCATCAGTTCACAATCCTAGCGATCGTGAACTCATATCTTGGATCGTGAACAACAACGATTCCTCCTCTTTGCACGGTCCTTGCACCATTTCTTCCAACTTCGACTCCGTGGTTGGTTACACTTGTTAGACTCGGAAACACAACAAACCTAGCCTAAAACCATCCTTTATGGAGCTAAAATACCACAAACGCCAAAGAGAAACATGGATAAAAAGTGTACATTTAGGCCCGAATCAACGCGGGCTTAAGGGAGAAGGCTCGAAGGGTGCTCATTGGGTGAGACTGGGCCAACCGATCTCGCTCGGCCAGAAGCGCCATGGAGTGGATGTTTGTTCGGTGCACCCTCGTTCAGTTACCTAGGGATTTGAGATCCACAGAGTCAAAACCTCATAAAGCATACCACAAGTCCCCTAAAGTAGAGCATAAACCTAATAAAAGAATACCACAAGTCCTCTAAAGCAAACAACAAGTTCCTTGAAGCACACCAAGAGCCTCGTAAAGAAACCGGTTTTATGTACTTATGTGTAAATTTTCATCAATATTTTTGGAATTATATGCACAAAAAATTATTTTAAGTACTAAATTTGTTAATCTATTAAGTTTAGATACCAAACTGTAATTTACATATGACACCCAAATAGTTAGGGTGAAGGGGAAAAACTTGTTATAAGTGGTAGTTTTTTTTAAAGAAGTGGTAATTACTAGAATTCCTTATAATCAAAGTTGTCAAACCAGTTTATAATGATATGTCGGTTTGGCAAATTTTATGGTTCAACCAGTGGTAGAAACGATTTATGCCAATTCATGTCGGTTTTGCAAAAACATATAGGGCTGTTAAAAATCATTAACGCTAAATAAATTTAAGTATATATATAACATATTTGAAGACAATCTCTCCAAAATTATATGTATATTTTAAATAAAATACAACATTCCAAACAAAATAAAAATTTCTCAAAAAATTATTTAATTCAACAAAAAACATAAATATCTGAACATTCATACTTCAATAAAAAATTCATACTTGAATCAAATAACGTCGACATGTAATTTTAAAATTCAATAAAAAATTTAAAAAATTGTCAATAAATTCACCAAACCGGCGTCATTTTATTTAGAGGTTGAAAGACGGTCATGTTGGTTACAATGAAGGCATTCTAGTGGGTTTCTCATTGATATCTGTTGTACCAACCGAAATTTGACAACTATACTTATAACTATTCATATTAGACCATCCATAATGCTGGTAAAAAAGAAGATCAAAAAGTGAATAAACACTCCTCCAATGGGGTTCTAAATATGCCAAACAACTAAAAAGTAGGTAAATTTGAGCCAAATTTGGCATGCAAAATGAAATAGAGGCTAAAAATCTCGGACCCACAGCAGCAAAGAGACTGTGCTCTGGGGGGGGGGGGGGGGTCCTGTTACACGCGTGAGACGGAATCAATGGTGTGCTCGTGTGCTCCCGGCGGCCCCTCATTTGGTTGTATCTCATTTGACCTATTATAGATATAAAAAAAGAAATTTATCTTTTAGCCTCCAAACACTTTCCAACAGCTCTTTTGACTTCCTAACAATTAGTTTTTACATTTTCTATAAATACACACTTATTTACTTCTACTTCACCACTTCCACATTTCCCCCTTCTCATAAAAAATCAGATTCATCTTCTTCACATAAAAAGCTTCTCTTCTTCCCAAAATCGTGATCATGTCTCAAAATAATCGTCTCCTGAAATGGACGTAGCCTGAAGATTAAGTACTGTGCAAGACATGGATTAAAATTTTGAGGATGGTGTCATCGGCCATCATCAATGCATGATTGAAATTTGTAGGCGAGGTTGCCTCGCATTTTTGGATAAAAGATGGGGGATATAGCATTCTAACAAAGGCTTGATTTCTCGATGGAAGACCACCTCCATCAATGTGGTCGTGAAATGCGAAGTCGAGGAAAGCAAACATCTTGAGTGGTGTTTTATCTACCTATCATTATTTGAGGAGCATTTTGTATTGAACCTTAATTAGACTACTCAACCGAGTTGTAGAAGGAGTATATAGGTAAGGTTGTGAGGTCGGCGACTAATGTAACTGCAGAAACTATCCTACTGCAAGCTAATAAGAAAACCTGAGAACTCATGTTCTCAGTGGACTAGTCTCGTTCCTATTGAAACGGAAAAACTTGATACCTCTCTTGGTCTCGACAAGTTCATCGAGAGGGGGTGACAACGTGTGTTTTGACTACCCTACGGCGCAAAAGGGCTACAGGGTTTTCGATCTGCAGTCGCGAAGCATTTATTCTTCTCGAGACGTGCGGTTTGTGGAGGACGTTTTCCCTTTTTGCATTGCTAATGGACTGAATGATGAGATTGATTCACCATCCAAAGACTTTCCTACTCTCTATACAGATCGTGATGATATAGATGATGGTCTAGTTAGGAATAATGAAGAGTCTACTCAACATGACGAAGACCTTGGGCCAGTTGATAAGAATTTGCATGAAGACCATGCACAAGAGGAGAACCTTGATGTCCAACCCATTGGATGATGAAGCAGACAGTGCAGCGACCTCTGAAGTTGATGCCACACCTCCTTTGCTACGAGGAACGCAAGCTGAACACCCCCCACCTGGTTTGGTTGATATATACGATAATCAACTCCCAGGAAAGGAGCAAGTATTTGAATCTACTTATCCACTTGCCAATCATGTTAGTTATCCTCGTGCTCACTGTGCTTATCTTGTAGCTTTACCCAAGATTGAAGAACCCAAATCCTTTCATTAGGCTATCTAGACCCCAGGTGGCGCGCATCCATGCAGATAGAAGTAACAGCTCTCGAGGAAAACAACATGTGTAACCTTGAGTATTTACCACCTGGGAAGAAAGCCATTGACTTGAATTGGGTGTTCAAAATAAAATACCGACCTGATGGTTCGGTGGAACGATTCAAAGCTTGGTTGGTTGCAAAGGGATTCACCCAGCTAGAGGAAGTGTATTTCTGTGACACTTTTGCCCCGATGGCCAAGGTGGTCACTATTTGTTTACTAATTGCCATTGCAGTTAGCAAAGGCTGGCCCCTATATCAACTGCATGTGAACAATGCCTTTTTGCATGGAGATCTTGAAGAAGAGATGTACATGAAAGTGCCACAGGGTTTTGATAAAGAGGGTGACAACAACGTTTGTAGGTTGAGGAAATCTCTATATGGGTTGAAGCAGGCATCAAGGAATTCGTACCAGAAGTTTACACTGGCATTGGGTAGCTTAGATTTCAGCCATCGCGAGCAAATTATTCTTTACTGATTCGTCGTCTAGGAAAGAGCTTTGTGGTAGCTCTTATATATGTAATGACGTTATTCTCACATGGAATGATGACACCTTCATAAATGGAGTCAAGGAGTTTCTAGCCAAGAAGTTCAGTATCAAGGATCTTGGAAATCTGAAGTACTTTCCAGGGATAGAGGTGGCGTGTTCAGATGAGGGAGTAATCTTGATCCAAAGAAAATACTTTGGACATCTTTAAAGATGCAGGAGTAACATGAGCACGTCCCAACAACTTCCCAATGGAGCAAAACCACAATTTGACTTGGCCAACTAATGAGGCTGGAGAAGATGCGAGTGGCTATAGTAGGATGATCGGGCGGTTGTTGTACTTGATTGTGAGGAGACCCGATATATCCTACTCGGTAAACATACTATAACAATTCATGCACCCTCCTAGTCCTGAACATATTGCGGCGAATACGAGGATTATGTGATATTTGAAGACAACAATTGGTCAAGGTTTGTTTTTCTCGGCTAATGGAGATCTAGAACTCGTAGCTTATTGTGATGCAGACTGGGCAGGGTATAAAAAAATGTGACAATCTACCATCGGTTATTACATACAGCTTGGTGGGGCACCGATCTCGTGCCAAAAGAAGAAACAACGGGTTGTCTCTGGGTCTTCCGCTGAAGCAGAATACAAAGCCATTGCGAGCATAGTGAGCGAAGTTCTCTGGCTACGTTTCTTGCTCGGGGAACTTGGAGTTCCTCATACCGGAGCTAATCCTCTCTTTTGTGATAAACATGCAGCACTAAATATAGATGCTAATCTGGTCTTTGATGAACCAACTAAATACGTCGAGATGGACTGTTATTTCATTGACGAGCAGGTTTAGTCACGAGAGGTCATTCCCCAAAAGATCAACACCACCTCTTAGTTAGCAGATATCTTTACGAAGGCGTTGGGCACATATTGGTTCTATTTCCTGTTGTGCAAGCTCGGCATTTGAGACCTTCATGCTCCAGCTTGAGGGGGAGTGTTGAGTGGTGTTTTATCTACCTATTGTTATTTGAGGACCATTTTGTATTTAACCTTAATTAGATCTATTACTCAGTCGATTTGTAGAAGGAGCATATATGTAAGGTTGTGAGATCGACGACCAATGTAACTGTAGAAACTTTCTTACTGCAAGTTAATAAGATCCCGTCCACGATCTGTGCTCTTCTGGCTGCAAACTAGTCCGTCCTCCGATTGCCTATAAATGGGAGACCTCTTTCCCCCTTTTAGATGAGCTAATTTGGAGAGAAGAATTTATGGTTTTAGAAAGAGAGGGGAGAGAGAAGCTGAACGAAAGAGATTAGGAGAAGAATGAGCTAGAAGAGAGATAGCATCTTCCTCAACCTCAAGTCTTCTTCAATTTCTTCTATGTATCTTCTTCCCTCCTTTATGGAGTAATCCTCTAAGGTACTAGGGGCTCTAAACCCCAAAATGCTAGTTTTTGGGTTTACTATGTATGTATGGATATTTTAGGGTTTGAATGAATGAATGTGTTTATCTAGTTGATTCTATCCTTGATTATGTTTGGGTAAGTCGCCCTAATATTCTCTATTAGCCTACTTTATGCTTCTACGCTGGGTATGGAGTTTTAGGGTTAGACGGGTATGCGCCATTAAGCAAATCGAGGTAGATGTATGAATAGTGACCTAAGGTGGTCGAGGCGACCGAACCCACCCTATAGGTAGCCATCCGAGATAGAACCCGAGATAAAACTTTGGTTTGGACGATGGATAGTATCCATTGAAAGGAGCTACGAGCTTAGTGCCCCAGATAAGATAGCCTAGATCGAGGTGACTTATATGGGTCTAGGGGAGGCATACTCGAAGGTGTGTGGATAACAACGAAAGCCCACGGAAATTGGCTCACTCACCACATTCGATAACCCTAAGTATCTAGACATACATAGTAGTCGTAGGCTAGGGTGAAGGATAGTTCCGCGAAGTACCTGCTTTTAGCTTTATTCAATATCTAAACTAGTAATTCCCTCAAATCCTCCACTCAAACCTCCAAAAACCGATTAACTAATTAACAACGAGGTGAGAAGTAGGCTAGGGTACTAGGACCCGAGTAAAATACAACATTCATTACCCTTATACAACAATGTCATCTTTTGTTAAACTTGGCTTGGTATGGGGTAGTTGTTGACACGTGCTAACAATTGATAATAATCTGCACTCAAGTGATCACCCATCCCACCAATGGATGGATCTCCATTGACATTGCCATCCGGCGAAAGTGATAGTCCTAACTTTGAGGTTAAGGGGCGGAGGAAGCTTGTTCGTTGGCCGTGGCCCTTGGGAATTATAAGCTTAGTAAACCTTGATGACAAAATCCAATCTCTGTTACTTGATGCCGATTCCGATCTCCGTTACTTGATGATAAAATCCGATGCTAAACCTTGCCTTATTCAATGGGTGCTCTTATTATAAGAATTTGACATTGAAATCAAGGACAGAAGGGGAGCAGAAAACCTCACGACGTACCATCTCTCTAGGTTGGAAGGTCCAGAATCTAAGGAAGAATTAAGAAGAGAGATCAATGATTCATTCCCCGATGAGACTTTATACTGTTCAAATACGGGGAGACCAACTCCCATGGTTTGCCGATGTGGCAAATTATCTGGCCACATGGCAACTTGCAAATGAAATGACTCGACTTGACAGAGATAAATTCTTTTCATATATTAAGAACTACTTTTGGGATGATCCTTACTTATTTTCAAAGATTCCACCGATTTCATTAGTAGAGGCGACAGATGTTAATGATCGGGAAACATTTCATCACGGAACGAGATTCCCCAATACGTCTCCATAACATGTGAGATCTTTAGATGTCTGGGGTATTGATTTTATGGGTCCATTTCCCTCATCTTTTAGATACAAGCATATTCTCGTGGTGGTAGATTATGCATCAAGATGGACCGAAGCTCAAGCACTCCCAACGAATGACTCTAACCAAGTTTGCAAGTTTTGAAGAAGTTGTTCTCTATATTTGGTACTCCCAAGGCAATAATTAGTGATCGAGGGACACACTTCCAAGGGAAATTCGAGAAGTTACCGAGTAAATACGGTGTCCATCATCGAGTCTCTATGTCTTATCATCCCCAAATAGCGGCCAAGAAGAGTTTACCAATCGTAAGTTGAAGCGAATTCTTGAGAAGACTGTTTCACATTCTAGAACAGATTGGTCCCTTCATCTAGACGATTCTCTATGGGCTTATCAGACTGTATAAAAAACACCAATTGGCACTTCGCCATATCGCTTGGTTTTCGGGAAGGTTTGTCACCTTCCGGTGGAAATGGAGCATAAGGCATACTGGGAAATTAAGCTCTTCCACTTCAATGAAACGGTTGTGGGAAAGTAATGGAAGCTAAAACTAATGGAACCCTGACATCCACAGAAATTTCGTCTAGCTTATGACGTTAAATAAGTGAAAACTCGATATTTTCACATATTTTATCCACCATTCTTATACTATGTGAGGCTCGTTTCTCATGTTTTAAATCGAATTCACACTAGGTTGTTCTTGTTAGTGACATTTCAGGTCCTAGTACGTGAATGAAGGCTTGGGCACGAGTTCAGGGCCGATTGGACGAAGTTAGGACATTCGACGGAAAGCTGAGAAAAATGTATGACCTGCTCATGATTTACATGGCTGTGCGTTGTGGCCGTGCACCTGATATTACGCCACTAGGTGTCGTACTGGCCATGCGAGGGCGCTTCCAACCCGTGCGGGTTTTCCAGTGACTACGCACGGGCAAGGCTCGATTCCACACGGCCGTGCGTTCTGGCCGTGTGTCTCCCACGAGAAACTAATCGGAACACAACGTTTTGGAGTTACACGGCCCTGCACTGGCCGTGTTATCGGAAAAATCTGGGTTTTAACCCAATTTATTATTTTTGGAGAAGGGATCCGAGTTTTAGAGTAGAAAACAAAGAGCTAGAGAGAGAAAGTGATGAACCCATCCTCAAATCTGACCTAGATCAAGTTTTGAGACCATTGTAGCCCGATTGAAGCCTGGAGAAGCACCTATTGACAACCATAAGCTTAATTCCATCCTCTATACGATAATTTCTGCATCTGAAGCTAATTGCCTGTCTCTCTCTCTCTATGGAGTAAAATCCCTCTCTCACCTGGGTATGAAGAACCCTAGAGTTGTATGTTAGGTTTGATTATATGAACCCAAGTACATGACATTTTGATATCGATTATATTCAATTGAGACATGATTGCAGAATTGCATGAGTCTTGATCACATTCTTGTAATTTCTGCTTTGACCTAGAAAGAGAATATCCGCATAGGTTGATAGAGCACCCTTAATGGAAGGTGGTGAATTGACTTCTTTATTAGAGAAGTCAAGTCATTGCCCTGTATTGGATTTGATTCGGTAGATGAGGTTTAGCACGTTAGGGCCCTAGTTCGTTTATTTTGTTGGAGGCTAGTCACCCGTCGGGTATTCAGATTGGGAGGGTATGAAGACCTTTAGTCGAGACTTCAGACCAGCTAAGAACCTTCTGCGGTAAAACTATCATTATATCTGGACTTGGTGAATTACAATTCAACTTAACTGCAATCTAGGGGGAACCATATCTCAGTGACCACTCTCGAACTTGAATCACAAATTTACGGCTTTGTGTTTGCTTAGATTAAATACAACTTAACTCCATTAAACCTGATGAATAACGGGAATTTCAGGGAGTAGTCATCACATCTAGGACCCAGGTTGACCATTAAAGCCAACACCCGCTATACTACGCATTAGTTTGTGGTTACACTTTGCCACTTTCTAGTGTGACGGTATTGGCAAGTCAAGAAGCATGTAGGTTGTCGACGTATGATGGTAACTTTTACTTCCCTTTTATTTGTGTTTGAACCTTTTAGCTGTCGTACCTGCGACTACTAGTAGTATTAGTACTCTCATTTATATATATGTCATACCTATAACTCTTATTCGTCTACCTATCTCTCTTATCCGCTTTATCGTTGTGAAAACCACTCTGAAGACAAAGACCTACACTTGTGTACCTTCACCAACCCACAACCAAACCTATGGTAACCTTCACGATCTTCTCTTATAAAACCCTCACGGATTCGGAGTACCCTTTGAGGATATGCTTGGGGATTGGATAGCTTTACCGTGTCCCAACCTTCTTTCACTACTAACCATTCCCCATGCATCTTTCCTCCTCACGGAATCGTATGCAAAGGTCCAAAATACCTTTTAGCGATTCATGAGACCTCAAAGCTCTCGTTTGTTCCCGACATGTGTGACATTCCAATGTGGAGTGCAAGCTGGAAGTGGTGCTCGGGATAGGATGAATCCGCCCATCAACTTCCCCACATGTGACCTTGAAAGGGAAATGGCTAGCAAATGGCTAGAGTGGAATGCAAAGTGGCAAGGGAATCAAGAGAAAATAAGAAGTACAAGATGAAGATTATGATATGGATCTTTCTCAATGCATTCCTTGAACTAGAGCTTGATATTAAAGCCAAAAGAATGAGATTGTAGTTTTATACCAAGATGATCCCAAAGGATCCACTTATATCCCGAATGATTTCTCCTGTTATGGTCCCGACATGTAATACATTAAGTTGATTGCTCTGTTTTTATTGTATTGTTCTACCACTGTTGGTGCATGCAAGTACTGAGCACCATATATGTTTGTGATGACAGAGCAAAATTTACTCAGGTACTCTAGAGTGGTGGTCTCACCCATTCGATAGGTCTCCTCCAAAGAGTCAGTTGTGCATCCATATGCCAGCATATGAAAAGCACTAGTAAGCTTTTGGTGTGGGATGAATGAGCTACGAACAGCAACATCCTTGCCTTGCTTGATGTAGGCATCATATTGAACAACATCATTCATGACTCGGTTGTATAAGGAAGGGTGCATCCATATGCCAGCATATGAGAAGCACTAGTAAGCTTTTGGTGTGGGATGAATGAGCTACGAACAGCAACATCCTTGCCTTGCTTGATGTAGGCATCATATTGAACAACATCATTCATGACTCGGTTGTATAAGGAAGGGTGCATCCAATATCACCTTGTGAAGGCCCTTGCGTTGTAGGTTGGATTTTGGTTGAAATAATCTTACATCAAGCGCTTATGACCATATTCCTTGTTACGCCACACTTTTTTTTTCCTGATGATGAAATATGACGAGATGTTGCTTCTTGTTGGCGCACTCTTGTTCCGTACATCGTGAACATCTCCGTACATTCACGCTCAAGCTGACACTCATACTGCCATTGCAACTCATATGCTTCTCTTTGTCTCTCATCGGCTTCCCTATCAAGCAAATCCATGGAGAAAAATGAGTTTTGGGTGGCTAGAAAGATGTATGAAGGTAGAAATGTTTTTCTTGCAAGAATGAAAGCTGAATGGTGGAGTAGAATGGCCAGTTTAGGTTTCATTAATAGAAACACAAAAAGATCTCTTATACAATAATGTATTGAAATTTGAATGAACAGTGGATTGCACAATTCAATCTGATTAAAGCCGGATTAAAGTAAGACATGGTGATGAGAATTGGTTACTATTTATTTTATTTTTTTGTAATTGGTGATGCCATTTAATAAAAAAAGATTATTCTCAAATTAAAAAAAGTTACATCGAAATGTTCATTTTAATTGTTATTACCCATATAAAAATAAGCGACAAATTATGTACATAAAAGATCAAATCTACTCTAAACTAGATTAGTATAAAAAGCAAGACATGAGGAATCACTTTGGTCTTTCCATTGGAGCATTTCCACTTCATTTAGACATATATTCCAAATACAGGTCTTTATTTTGGAACATTGCATTGTGGATGGTCTTAGGGTCTTCGCCTCCTCTTCGCCACCTCCTTCCAGCACCATGGTGGTTCCTAACCCTCATTGATCTCAATCCAAACCCCTCACCCAAAAAATATAAACTTACTACCTAACCCTCATTAATCTTGTTACGTGGCTTTTCAAGAGTTGTTATGAAAGTTCTTAAGATTGCAGCTCAAAATAAAAAACCGTTTGGAGTTTTTTGCACATGTATATGCTTGAAACTCCTTGTTGCACATTCTTAGAGATTCCATATGTGGTAAATTTCAAGCAGCTCTTACCTAAGGTGGCTTCTCATAATTTATCTTCAATTAGTTGCAATGGTTCATTTTTTGTGTTCTTTCAGTTTTTTTGTAGTTGCTGCGCGATTTTTTCATTTTTGTTTGCTTTGCTTTGCTTTCTATTCTATTGTTTGCTTGTGTTCGCACATGGAATGAGGAAACATCGTTGAAGTCTTTGATCTTTAACAACATGTATGGGTAGTTGAAAATTTCGACCTTGGAAGTTTGAGATAGACTGAATGTTTACAGTACTTGAGATGATAATTAATCTAGGGGTAATGTCTATTTTTTGTCCAAACCTTTTTTAGATTCTTTTATATTATCCAAGCTTATTAAAATGCTATTAATTAGCCGAATCTTTCGTAATGCATCAAAATATTTTTCATTTTTACGTTATCGTTAATAATTTTGTAACTCTTTTCTTAGTTAAAATACTAAAAGTTTGTAATGTTGACCTTCATGTGTCTCTTCCAAGTCAGTATCATGTTCCCAAGTCAATATTACTAATAAAATTGCTAACTGAAGTTAAAATACTGAAAATGTTTGGATACAAAATAGGCATCACCCTTAATTTAGAGAGTGAAAAACTTTGGTGTGTCATTTGTTAATCTAGCTTAAGGATACCATACTAGGGAGGATTTCCTTCCGAGGTGAAACTCTTGAATATGAAATATGCATCATGATAGTTTCTGCTCAAGTTACTATATAGGAATAATAATATGAGCTACCTTTGCATATTTCTTGTTTCGGTAGAAAGCTATCCTTGTTAAAATCATGGATAGTTTTGAGGAAAGAATCTGCATCTTTTCTTTTTGAACAAAGTTACAACCATGCACTTTCGAAGTCATGAAATGTTGTATTACTCATAGGTTCCACTAAGAATGACAATTTAATACACTAAGAAAACTACAAATTTTCTTCCATAAGTTCCAAGCGTTGCAAAAATATTCTTGGATAGGAATGTAAAAGGGATATGATTATGAGCTCTATGGAAACTGTGCATTACAAGGTAACATATATTATAGTTACAAAAGGGATAGTAAGATCTATATATATAAATGCATATAGATTTTGGTATAGGTTCAGTGTATTTGATTGTGAGTAGATAATTTGAGTGGATAATTAAACTGTCTCCCATTGTTTTAATCTCCAAAATTAAGCTCATCACTTCTAAGATTTCCTTTCCTTTTTCTACGGATTCTGGGTCCCTTGCCTTATATTACATCCTACTGGATGGTGTTTGGAATGTGTATTGGCATTGGTTTAGTATCATTCAAAGAGAAACCGAGAAACCTATACACTTTCATTACTTTTTCAAGGGTTCGTTGGCTTGGATGCTCCAAGTGAGATCTAATTCAGGTATTCCTTCTTCTAATTAGCAATAGTGAGAATGAAAATGTCTTGCAAAGCATGCAATCATTAGAAGGACTTGAGGATTATGTCAGTTGTTATTTGCTTGCAATCTTGGATCAAACCTTCTAATTGTTTGTTCTGTTTCTCTTTGATCAAACCTTATGATACTCTTGTTGTTCTCTCTATACCTTGTGATTTATAATAATACCATTCACATTCCTAAATATATTAAAAACTCATGGTTAAAATATTTTATTCATTGGTTGTTTTTTATAAGCAGTTAATGCATTTTGACTACTTATTGAAATAAACTATTTCTGCAGAACACAGATTGGATTTGGACTGGGAAATATGGAGAATAATGGACATTTTTATCAGTACAGAGAGAGACTTGACCGAACATTGGCTTCTCCTGCTTTGACAGATCTTGCTAAACTTAAAATCATTATAAGCAAACAGCTTGAAGGCTAGTATATGTCAATTTATGTTGAGTTCTTTAAGGGTAGTGGATTTTAAGAAATGAGAGATGCTAATCAGGTAGTTCTAGTTATACTAATAATTTTAGTTTACGTACCGAATCAACAGGATCTGACGAGAAAGTGATAGAGAAAAGGGCTATTGAGGCGTCCAATTTTCTGGATATGCTTAGGGGTGCTGGTGTAAGTGAAAATGGGGATTCACAAAGAACCAAAGCAACTGTTGGGGAATGGAATGTAAGCTTTGCTTCTCATTTCGTCTATTTTGGAGTAGAATTTATTTTGAGTTGTAGAGGGTGGTAGGAACTATGTTTAAAGCTTTGTAAGATGAGAACTTTGCCATAAGTTTTTGTTTAATCCTCTCAATTAATAAGATCAATTCTGAGAAAGAAGTGGGAAAGATAAATGTCTTTACTAAAGCTGCTTTCTGTCAACAGTTGAAAGAAAGTAATGAAGAGTTTCGTGTCATGTATCGTGAAGGGCCCCAGGGTACACCTATGCATACACTGTTTGTTGAAGGTTTCGTTGATGGACCTACCGATACATGTAAGTGTTGCTCAATCTCAAAGGAGGGACTCACCCTAGGCAATGTGCTGAGTGGAGTTTTCTTGACTAGGAATATATCTCTCTACAGGTTTATGTCTGGGTTGGGAGTCAACTCTGTACCACAAATGGTGAGATTTTTGTCCACTTTCTTACTTACCTTTGTTCTTTTTAAGGTATTACCATGAGTTTATTACATTTCAAAAAATCTTATGTCTGTATAATAGTTTTTCTTACTCTTCTTGGGTATTAAAGATGTCGTTATAACATTCCTGATATCGAAAAACATCCTTTTGATTCCCATGTATCATGAACTAGAAAGAAACTGCAAGCACTGGAAAGAAAATAGAGCCTAGCGTTCAGTAGAAAGCATTTTGTTCATATGTGGTGATATGTCAGATATCTCTTCGTTGCTATTCCAGGTGGCCGCAACTTAGTTTCCCCAATTTCAAGATTGCTATTTCCAAAAGCTTACAGAAAGTTCGATTTGGAGAGCAGATTTCTCTACTGAGGTTGCTCCTGAAAATTCATCTATGTTTTGCTATTTCTTTTTTGCGATATGTTGCAATTCGTTAAACTGATATCCTGTAAAACTTGACAACAAAGGATGAAAATTGCATGGCCACTATCAGCAAGAGAGTCTGTTCTACATTATTTTATGTTTGAGTATCTCGAAGAGGGCCTGATAGTTGTTCTTCTGAACTCGGTAATCACTCAACTTGAATTAATGATTATCACTTAACATAAATTTCCTTGGGGTTGTAAGTACAAAATTGAAAAGCAACAAAATTAATTCATTAACTACCTTTTTCAGATTGCAGACTCAGATTCCATTGATGTAACAACTCATGGTTATACTAGAGATGGAATACCCGAACCAGAGGATGTAGTAAGAATGGACTTAGTAGGAGGATTCGCAGTGCAAAGAGTGAACTCCAATAGAAGTTATGTGTGGTATGTGATTGAACTAAGACCTCTACCCCCAGTAACATACTTGACATCAGTTTTTCTGTATGATTTATGTAGATTTGAAAATCTCTATTTTATTTTGCTTTTAGCCTAATAGGAAATATTGATTTCAAGCTGGACTTTATGCCTCCATCCCTTATAAACTTTGTGGCAAGGCAGCTGATTGGTGGTGGCTACAAACTTTATCAGAAGGTAATAACTCATATTCCTTATGATGATATATATATAATGCCTTTGAATAGGGGTAAAATGTTCCTTTTGTATGACTACTATGTTAACACAAATACAGGCCGTAATTTCTACGTCAAAGCACGATAAAGATTATGTCAATGCATTGAAGGATCCTTTGTATTCTCGATTGCGTGATATATTCCGTGAACATAGTGAAGAACCATATGATATTGTGATAGGGAGAGAAGAACTCAACAATAATCAATCAATAGTTGAGGCAACCAAAGTTGCAGCCAAAAGCTTGATAGGTGTTGAGAAGAATGGTGAGGGGAACCCCATGACTGAATCCTTTGCAGATGCTTTGGACGATCTGGACGAAAAAAATTCAGGATATTTTGATGTGGAAAAGATACTAGTGTCGACTAATGGAAAAACTACTAACATGTCACTGGAAGCCTGTGAAATAGAGCATGAGGCTGTAAATAGAGCCTTTAGCAAGATAGGAAAAGCTAATTTTGAAGACGAAGATTGTACGAGAAAAAAGAATGAAGATACTTCTGAACCAAGATATCTTGTCCAGTATGCAATTGTCCTAGTCTGTCCTGACCTAAATCAAGCAATAGGGTCACTAGAGAAAGGTATTTCCATGGTTAAGAGGTATGGAGCCAGTGTGATAACTAGGTCATTATCACGTTTGGATAACCGAAGTCGTTCATCAAATGAGGATGTGATAGGTGAAGTATCCCCATCGGTGGAGAAGACTTCGAAGTTGGCAACTTTTACCCGAAAGCACAGTACCCCCCTAAAAGATGGAATAGGTCCTTCACATGGTGAGGTCAACATCGTTGAAGTATCCGACAAGTTGACGGAGAAGGCTCTCGATGGGCCCAAGACCTTTGGCAGCTACATAAATAGGTAACCCTACTGCTCAACTATTTTATACTACATATAAGAGTAACAACCAATTATAATTATATAATACATACATATAATATGATCAACCAAAAACACTATTGGAATATTTGTTTGGTTGTTGTAGTCGGGCTGAACTGGATTCGGGGAAAGCAAGAGATGATGAATCAAGGAATGAGATCTTTGAGATGGCGATGGAAGGGAGTGAGGAGAGGATTGATGATAGTGACTATAAGAGGGAAGGGAGGTTGAGGAAAAGGAGGTATTTGACTTCTTGCTTTGGTTATCAGTGACTTTCAAGCTTGATAGAGAAGTAGGAAGTAGAAACATAAAGTGAGTGTAGTGAGTTTGGTGTAGATGTTTATCGGCTTCGTCGTGGCCACAACAGATAATATTGAAGAAATGCCTATGTTTCTGTATTTCTCGTCACCGTAAGTAGGGTGTTTGTTGGAGTATCCAGGACGTGTCGTTCAGATTTATGGATCTAAAATAATGAATGTCATGTCAAAGAAATATGGATTTGAAACAATGTTACTTGTTTAATAATGGGTTTTATTGCTCTACTTTAGGGTATACTATGCATTTATAGCAAGGTTTCAGAAGGAGTAATTCCTCATACGCCTAGGCGCTAGGTAGCTACTAAATGCCCAGCCTAGGTCATATGAAGACCATTAAGCATTCAAAAGCCGCAATAAAATAGAGTTAGACGACCTAGTGACTAAAGAAAATAATAAATATATGTTTAATACCAAAAATGACATATGTTCGAATAGTTCCTTCCAATTACTCGTCATTCACATGCCTCATTCTTCTATTGGAATAAAAGAAGAAATAGGTCAACAGAGCTCTGAAATTGCAACTACTTCTTCCTGCCCCAAAGTTCAACGTATGCAACTATAGTGCTTCTCGTTTCCAGCTTTGGTCGACCTCATGCTATATACTATTTTTCTTTAATGTTGACCGCTAAACAATCAAAACCACGTCGCCATATGTACTACTTCAATTCCTCTCCGATTAGTATCCAACTTTGGTCAACCCAACCTTCTTTCTTACTTTTCACCATCACTATCTGTAAAATTCTTATGATAGCTTAAATGCCTAGGCGTCTCCTAGGTGCTAGGTAGGACCCCAACGCCCGCCTAGTGCTTTCTTGAACCTTGATTTTTATTATGATACTTACTTAACTTCTAATTGATAAATCTTATATCCAAATAATTCAATCCAAGATCAATCTAATAAAATTTAATAATCGTTTATTCCAATTCATCGAAGTATTAAGAAGTACATCTAATGTTCAGATCATGATCATGTAGGGTATGATATATTCTAGTAACAATACAGTTATCACGAGACATTATTTTTGAGAAAACTCAAGTTTATAGATGTTTTTGTTTGCTACATGAATCTATAAAATGTATAGAAACTTTCTAAATAACATCTACTTCACATCATCCTTCTAAGTATCCTAATAATTTGCATTCCATTTCATTTCACTTTTTCTTTTCCTCGGGTTTTTTTAACACCTTGGTAAAATCTTACATCGACAAAACCATAAAAGAGATCCATTTTCATAAGGAACAATTCAACCTTAACTGACAATACTCATTTTGGGGTGAAACGAATGAATTCTTGTAAGAACGCTGAAGTTAAACATACTTAGTATAAAGCAATGCAGAGATGTCTGACCTCTTAAGAAGTTTCCATGATGAACCTAAAAACAAAACCATGTGGAGGTAGGCCCAAAACAACAAAAGTGTTCGTCAGAAAAGGGTTGGGTTATTACAGGTGATATTGGAGCCTTTCTACATCTCTCTTGAACGATGGAGGTGCAAACCTCAACGAAGACATTGAGTTACAAAGTAGGTGGGCTGTAATGTTTCACCTTAGGTAAATATCACATTGACAAAGCACGAGAGAGATCCATGTTACATAATGAACAATCCAACGTTAACTGACAAGATGCATTTTGGAGTGAAATCAAGGAGTTCTTGTAAGAGCTCTAAAGTTAAACGTGATAAGTGTGGAGCAGTGCAGACTAAAGATATGGTCGACCTCCTAGGAAGTCATCATGATGCTCTAAATAGCAAAACGTGCAGTGTAGGCCCAAAATGTACAATATCTTGATCATAAAAGGGTTGAGATGTTATAGTTTCTCTACTTTCACAAAAAAATGGCATATTTTTCTTTTTCGAGAAATTTTCTTTCTCATCCTTTTTTTCATTTTATATTGATAATTTTTTATGGTTTATATTCCAATGCAAAACCTGCTCTCTATGTAAAGTTACAAAATCAGATGTAATGATTGTAACTAGAGAAGAAGATATATAATGGTCACAACTTCTCTTGCTTTTGATAATCTCTGCACAGTCGAACAAAAAACACTTATTATAAGGATCGCCCCATAGACTATATAGACTTAAGGGGATCAAAAGGCCTATACGGTCAATAAGGTTTTTTGGGACAATTAGCTGAGTTTTTTGGGGACTAGCCTGAATATCTAGGAAAAATTTAATCCATTTTTCAAATATCTTAAGAATTTACAATGTACCATATCTTGTTTGTTTTATGTCAAATTTTTTGTACTATTCATGATGATATTCATTTTGATATTTCTGGGAACAAAAAAATTTCACGCCATCTAGCATATCGTGATAATATCATAGTGATCATGTCATGATCAAGGTTCAAGAAGGTGTTAGGCGCTATGCAGACATTGGGGTTCTGCATAGCGCTAATGATACTTAGATAGTGGCTAGGCGTTTTATTGGAAAATAATAACTTTTAGTAGAAACAACAATTTTATAGCACTATTTTACTTCGATTCAATTTCAAATGATAAATTTATAACTTAGTCAATCATCAACAACAATCAAAATATGTCATGATTTTATAAAAATACAAGTTGTAGCACTATAACTTCATGGAAAGTTTGAAACACAAGTTATTCTAAAATAAGTTTACAACAACAAAAAGTTCATTTAAAACTAGTTCAATCATCATAACCCAAATGTGTTTGTCAAATAACCACTTCATCTTCATTATCCTCAAAAGCAAACTCCTCATCATTATTCTCTTATACCTCCTCGTTTGACTTGAATTCTTCATCATCGAGCTTTCTCACTCTTGTACTCCTACGATTCAAGATGCTCACTAGTTACTATTGTATATCTATAACAAGACTCGATGTTCACCATTTTCTTCCTCACCCTAGTCCTTGGTCTGTTAGCGGGCTTAATTGTGGCTAAATTTGATAAATCACACTTTAAACTACATCGTGGTTAGGTTTTCATAGGCACTGCCTAGGAATTATGAATCCCTAATTCTCTGCCTATGGCATAAGTGAGGCGTTTTGTTGTTGTCAAGTATCAAGTACATAATTACGTCTTATTGAATCCTGATCATATGATATGACAGTGATGTAAAAATGTTCTTAGTCTAGCATCTATCTATCTATCTATCTATCTATCTATCTATCTATCTATCTATCTATCTATCTATCTATACATAATATTACTGAAGGGTTAAAGGTCGTCCTAAAAATTACTAATCGTCGTCCTAACTTAATACGTAAATTACTTAATTACCCTTTTTAAAATTAAAACACAAACCCTAGCCAAACACTCCCCTTCCTCCACTTCGCATCACTTCCCTTCCTCCACTTCCCGTCCCCAGCAGCGGAGACCCGCCGCCACGTCTCCCTTCCCCCGTCCACCAACAGCCGTCGCCGACCTTCCCCCGTCGGCCAGCCGCAGAGAGACCACCACGCCGGCGCACCTCGCCCTTCCCCCGTCGCCGTCAGTCCTCGTCGTCCACCGTCGCCGTCAGTCCTCGTCCTCGCCGTCGCCGTCGCAGCCCTCCTCCAGTGGCCTGCCGTCCCACGCCGCCACGCACTCGCCGTCGCCGTCGCCCAGCCGTCGCCGTCAGCCCTCCTCTCGCCTGCCGTCCGTGCTCGCCGGAGAAGAAGGTAAGCTCCGTTCCGCCTCGCCCTTCACCGACCGAAGACTTCGTTTGAGCCATGGTCAAACCGAAGTCAACATTCGGTTGAGCCATGGTCAAACCGAAGTCAACATTCGGTTTGGTTGATTTTTAAATAATTTAATTCAATTAATTAATAAAAATTGTTATTAAATATTGTAAATTATGTAATAATTAGAAATAATTGTAGTTAATTATAAATAAGTTGTACGGTTTATAATTTATTATAAAAATTAAATTCGAATATTTTTATGAATTCAATTATGAAAAAAATATTGTGAATAATGTAATAAAAATTATTAAAAATTATCTGAAATTTATAAAAAGTATCAAATTTTAGAAATATAATCTATAAATTTGTAATTAATGTTACAAAAATATTAGAATAATGGGAAAATTAAAAAGTAGTTGAAATTAGGCAAAAAGACTAAGAAATTTGTAATTAATGTTAATAATAAATTATCAAAAAGTTAAAAAAAATTGGAGAAAATTATCAGAAAATGTTAATGCATTTGATTATCATTAATTGTAATGTTTTTTTTTTGAAGATGTCTGGACATGGAATAGGCAAACCGTTCATGAATAAGAAAAGAATGGAAGAAAAAACGGAAGGAAGAATGGAAGGTCGTGCTTGTAGACTTACAGCGACCGGTAGAAAAGAAAATGAAGAAAAAAATCCACGTAAGGTTAAGGGGAAGAAGAAGAAGGCGGAAATAGGGCGTCCCGACGGTCGCCCTACTATGGGACAGTTATCTCTTAGTCGAGGTACTACCTCCACCCCTACTCCTGAGGATGCGACGCCGTGGGAGGCTAATTGGAGTGATTCAGTTTCTATGGACGACGACGACGATGATGATGATGATGATGATGATGATGATGATGTGGCTGTTGATGAGGTTGGGGATGCCCCACCTGAATCTGATGTAGGCATCGGTAAGAAGAGACGAGTTGGGACATCTTCTACAGCTTCTTCGCACTTTCCACAGCGTGGGCTAGATGGACGCTATGTTGCGAGACGTAGTAGTGAGGAAG